GCAATCACACTACCTGGGATGTACGAGACATCCATTTCTTTCTGGTATAGTTCCTCTGTGTATTCTTGCCACCTCTTCTTGATGTCTTCTGCTTCTGTTAGGTCCTTTCCACTTTTGTCTTTTATTATGGCAATCTTTGTACGAAATGTTCCTTTCATATCTCCAATTTTCTTGAACAGATCTCTGGTTTTCCCATTCTATTGTTTTCCTCTATTTCTTTGCATTGCTCGTTTAAGAAGGCCTTCTTGTCTCTCCTTGCTATTTTTGGAAATCTGCATTCAGTTTCCTGTATCTTTCACTATCTCCCTCGCATTTTGCTTGCCTTCTCTCCCCGCTATTTGTAAGGCCTCGTTGGACAGCCACTTTGCTTTCTTGCCTTTCCTTTTCATTGGGATGGTTTTAGTTGCTGCCTCCTGTATAATGTTATGAGCCTCCATCCATAGTTCTTCAGGCACTCTGTCCACCAAATCTAAATCCTTAAACCTGTTCCTCACTTCCACTGTGTATTCATAAGGGATTTGACTTAGATTGTATCTTACCGGCCCAGTGGATTTTCCTACTTTCTTCAGTTTAAGCTTGAATTTTGCTATAAGAAGCTGATGATCTGAGCCACAGTCAGCTCCAGGTCTTGTTTTTGCTGACTGCATAGAGCTTCTCCATCTTTGGCTACAGAGAATATAATCAATCTGATTTCGATGCTGCCCATCTGGTGATGTCCATGTGTAGAGTCGTCTCTTGTGTTGTTGGAAAAGAGTGTTTGTGATGACCAGCTTGTTCTCTTGGCAGAACTCTATTAGCCTTTGCCCTGCTTCATTTTGAATTCCAAGGCCAAACTTGCCAGTTGTTCCTTTTATCTCTTGACTCCCTACTTTAGCTTTCCAATCCCCTATAATGAGAAGAACATCCTTCTTTGGTGTCATTTCTATAAGGTGTTGTAAGTCTTCATAGAATTGGTCAATTACAGTTTCTTCAGCACCAGTGGTTGGTGCATAAACTTGGATTACTGTGATGTTAAAAGGTCTGCCTTGGATTCGTATCGAGATCATTCTATCATTTTTGAGATTGCATCCCAGTACAGCTTTTGCCACTCTTTTGTTGACTATGAGGGCCACTCCATTTCTTTTACGGGATCCTTGCCCACAGTAGTAGATATGATGGTCATCCGAACTGAATTCGCCCATTCCCGTCCATTTTAGTTCACTGATGCCCAGGATGTCAATATTTATTCTTGCCATCTCAGTTTTGACCACATCCAACTTACCAAGGTTCATGGTTCTTACATTCCAGGTTCCTATGCAATATTTTTCTTTACAGCATTGGACTTTCCTTTCACTTCCAGGCATATCCGCAACTGAGTGTCCTTTCGGCTTTGGGCCAGCCGCTTCATCAGCTCTGGATCTGCTTGTACTTGTCCTCCGCTCTTCCTCAGTAGCATGTTGGACACCTTCCGACCTGAGGGGCTCATCTTCCAGCGTCATAACGTTTATATGCCATTTGTCTTTGTCCATGGAGTTTTCTTGGCAGGGATACTGGAGTGGCTTGCCGGTTCCTGCTCCAGGTGGATCACGTTTGGTCAAAACTCTCCACTATGACCTGTCCATCTTGGGTGGCCCTGCACGGCATAGCTCATAGCTTCTCGGAGTTATTCAAGCCCCTTCGCCATGGCAAGGCAGTGATCCATGAAGGGGGCAACATTTGATATGCTATTGCAAATGGGAGCAGAAGGCACTTTTCACCTCTGGGGACCCCTATAATATAGATAATGTCATAATGATGGGAATTTTGCCAGTTGTACATAGAATAGAATAATCACCCGAAAAATCCTGCATATGAAAAATGAAAAGTTGAACTAGCCCCATATTGCTTTCCCAGAGTCAAGTGGTATTATGGTCATTCTACATATTCTTGGATACAGGCTATGGGTTCAGAACATCAGTATGCTTTTTATAGCCACCCAGAGTGGCTGGGGCAACTGTCAGATAGACAGCATATAAAAAAATTATCATCACTATCATCATCAGGCTGGCAGGAGAGGCCAGACCAAACCAAACCTATGCTTGTTTCTACTGCAGCAGAACATCACCACTTGTTAGAGCAGAGAGAGCTGGGCCAAATCCAGCACACTTGGTTTTCCAGCAGGCATCTTTTTCTATAAGATGATCCTTATATTTACTATAGTTCTGTATTGATTTTTTGTAAATAACTTAGGCACTGGTGGTTTCTTAGCTCCCTCGAGCGTGCTAGTGGAAAGGCAGAACATAAATGTTTTTTGTTTTCAAATGGGTGTACTGTACCCGGTAACTCCTCTGGCTCTTTTTTTTTTTACTTCAAAATGTATCTCTAGGTAGGTGTTCATATATTTCCTTCCATACCATTATACACACACAGAGAGAGAGAGAGAGAGAGAATGAGAATGCGTGCAAAGAGGGAACAGAAAAGGCCCCATCATTTTTGTTATTCTGAAATGCCATTTGCAAAGTTATTAGGCTGACCTTGTTGAAAATATTATTGCATTATTCTTCTGTGAGAGCAACTTGTAACTCAGTGGCAAGGGAAGGGAAAGCAATTTCAGGATTACAACAAAATCAAAACAAAATACCTTTTTTATGCTGCTCCTCTAGAAAGATGCTTATTAAGATAGCGTCTGTGGAAGCTTGGTATGATGAACAGATGCCTGTGACCTGCCTAAGGCATAGTTTAGAACAAATTTGGATGGGTGGTAGGGGCAAATTGTGACCTTTTTTGTCTTAAGTGAACATGAAAGCAAGTATTGGCATTGCTAACACACCCCTCCCATTGCCTGCAAGCTGCTGAGTATGTATGGGAGCATTTCATTGCTGTTTGGAAATGTTATATTCTGATTTCCTCTAAATCAGGGGAAGGGTGACCTATGGCCATCTGCAGGACTGGCTTTGGATAAATAGCACACTTGGTGAGGAGTGCCTTTGGTGCTCCCTCACCCCTGCTCAACATTGCAGGACCACTCAGAGGGTTTATGGGGCCTGGTCTGATCCAGGTGTGATGTTGAGGCCCTGCTGCTACTTCCTACAAAGACCCATGCATGTTTGTACAAAGCTGAGGGCCACATGCAAAACTTACTGTTCCCACAGGCTCCATGTGAGAATTCTTGCTTGCAGCTCACCCTTGCCCTGGAATCAAGCAGAACTATGGATGTGCTTCATTCCCCACCCCCCTTACATAGTGATAAATGAATAGAAAAAGGGTTATGCCTATTCTGAATGCCTCCTTCAAATTCCCAAACCTTTCTGACAGAGCTTCTTTCTGCTTCTGTGTATTCATGTCTTATGCTTCGCAAGAAGTGTCAGCTGGAATATAAGGACTAGATTCATATGTTGAGTGCAGTAGTCAAGAAGAAATATTCAAATAGGAGTTCTACATACTTGTTAATGCTGCTCATGTTTGAATTGAAGAGCAATTCAAGCAGCTTGAATCTCACAAAAACACATGTACAGTAGATTTTTTTACAACCTTAAAAATTTACCAGAAGAGATGCTTGCTGTCCACTCTATAGAACTACACAGAGGCCTCACCAATGGCAGCCACTCCAACCTCAATAGTGCAGATTTTTGTGTTGAGCTGGGCCATCTCCATCACATTCACCACGAGATGCCCTGCAGTACATTGATAATAAACATAATGTCTGATGTCATCTCACATGTCTGGGTAGCTACGACTTCTGTGGACACTTCCATTTGCAGTTGCCAGTTGTGAGCATAGCTGCTCAAAATTGAAGCCCAGTGCACTTGCAGTCTCCCAAAGCAGATGAGAGGCTCACATCACTTGCTGTCCTGTCCATGGAGATTGGCTCTCAGCCACTGTGCTACAGCTTGCACAAGCTAAACCTGAAAAAGTCACATTAACTATCATAGCTTTTATTTTTGATGTTTTGTAGCAGTTCCTATCTTTCAGTAAGCATTCTTTATTTTAGAATATCCATTATTTTTATCTTTAAAAACAATAAAGAGAAGTTATGAATAAAAAAGTATCCAGCTGAGCTTTTACAGCTTATGGCTTTATTTTCATTTATATGGTGCTTACAGCATTTATAGCATTTGAAGTGCTAAGTACTCAGTAACCTTGTCTCATAGTAAAGCTATGTTCCACTGGGTTTTACCTAGTGCAAATGCATCAAAGTGGAAATCGAAAATGAAACATGCTGTAAAGCAAATTCAAGGAAGAAGCTTGAATAAAAGGTTACAGACACTTGCTCTCTGCCACCCTAGCTCACTGCAGACAGTGCATTAAAAAAGACAGAGCCTCAGCTCAGCTCGCACCCCAGGTTATCCTCTCACTGGCCCATCCTTACAGCTGCCCTTGTCTGTCCAGATGTTTCTGGGCTCCAACTCCCACCATCCTCAGACAGCTTGGCCAGTTGTCAGGAGGGTGGAAGTTGGGAGGCCAGAGGTTCCTTATCCTAGTTTGAAGCAGAAGCATTGTTTTAAGAAACAAACAACTTTCAAGAAATCATTTGTACCTTCTTGGAAAACAACAGATATATAGCCAGCAATTGTGACTTGCCTTGTTTCAGTAGTTGTGTATGCAGTGTTACCTTTAATGGGAGTCTTTGCTGTAAGGAGATGTTCCTGCCTCTATACATATTTTGATACATTTGAGGTCAGGAAAGCAATCCTAAAAGGCTATTTATCTGCAAGATACATAGAAGATAACAAGGTTCAGCCACTCTGCACAGCTCTGCCCCCCCTCTGCCTTGCTGGAGTAGCCATGAATGCTTTTCATGATCCTTGACCAGGCCCAAGGTCAGGGCTTATGTGGATGCAAGATAAAAGCAGAGACCAATAGAGAGAACGTGAAGAGGTGTATATCCACAGACTGATATGAGGAGAAGAAGTGTGATCCAAGTCAGTAATTGAGAACATACAAAATTGCTCCATATTAATTATGTGCCATTCTGACTGACCGTGACTCTTCAGGGGCAGGCAGGGTTCTTTTCCAGACCAGCTTTCTGATAGCTTTTTGATTTGATATATCAGGGATTGAACCTGGGACCCTTTGCGTTCAAAGCAAGTGCTCTACCAAATAAGCAGGGCATTTGTGGTGGAAAGCACTATATACAAATCTTAAATAAATCAGCTGTAGGCCCTCCCTTATGCCCATGGCCAACCCAAGGCATTTTGCTGCCTGAGGCAAAGGACAAGATGGCACCCCCACCATTCCGTGGAGAGTAGCTGAACGGACTAGTTGTTATTTCATTTCTGGCAATGGGATAGTGTCCTCCACACTCCTGAAGGCAACAGACTAGTTACAGACATGGAAGCCAGACCAGGAGGGTATTGGATCCAACACTTAGACCATTTGGCAAAGGAACATGCATACATTTCTGTCAATAAGCACTTATATGCCAGTGCCTAATTCATTCCTTCATTATATGTTCTAGGAGCCATTGTTCTTTCCCTTTGCTTTGTGCTTAGCAAGTTAGCTTTTCAAACTCTTCTGGAGTTCCTTACAACTGTATCTAGGATATGATAAAAATAATACACAGGGGAGCTGGTAAAATAGTTCTTTATAGCTGATTAAAATATTTTATTGATCAGTCAGCTAGTGCTACCTTTAGCATTTAAAGACTTGTAACAGCCTGCATTTTAATAGCTCCTGTATAGATTAAAGCAATCCTTCTATTGTGGATGCAGAGCCAGAAGTTCAGAAGCCTAACTGAAGCTTTGGTTTTTGTCTTCTAAGGAACTGGTATCTAAGTGGAGAGAAGTATTGCTGCCAATGATAAACAGGATCCAGAATGATGCCTGGCTTCAATAGATTCTAGATGAAGCAGTTTAATCTCACTGATCTCAGTAACCTCAATCTCTGTCCTGATTTACTGCAACTCACATAGATTCCTACCCCTTGAAAATTTGGTTGAGTTGCTTTGCTCCCTCACATGACTGTATGTTCCCCTGTGTGAAGCTCACCCTGTGCTCCTTGAGCCTTTAAGGTCTTGGGGGGCCAGGTGACTTGGTGGATGTTCTGAGAAGGGGATAACCTGTTAGTGCTGTTAATGTGGGCCTTGTTCAGTACTTTGTGCAGTTTGACTTTGCAGGGGCAGCAACAACCAGTTGGGCATAGGGTCAGAGTCAGCTTTTGGTGCAATACTACTGGTTGTACCATTGTATTGCTTCCTTGCCAATAGCCTAAGAATGCTGCTGCTGCTGTTAATAATATTGTATCAAACTAAGTTATGCACAGAATAGACCAAACTGGAATTAGTTGAAGCTTGGTTAGTCCTGCCCATTAATTCCAATAGGTCTACTCTGAATAAAGCTTATTTGTATACAACCCACTATCATCAACATCCTTTTGTGATCCTTACATAATATATCTGCCAGTAAGGATCGTTTACAGTTGGTCATTATACCCATAACTGCAGATGTGGGTAGGCGGGGCTGAGAGATGGGAGGGTGTGTGGGGAGAGAGAGAGGGTGTGTGTTTATCTTAAAGCTGTATAGCAGTTAAATCCAAGAGGTATGTAGGCTTTGTATAAATTGCTTACAGATATAAAATCTCATGTATGCTTCATTATGGTGTAAATCCATTCTCATTCTGTGAGCTTTTCAAACCAATTTTCCTAATGATCCAGTAAAACATAGTGGTCTGTGATGGAAATGGCTTATGGCCTTCAGCTTTTATTTAAATGGTGGTAATTGGGTGATTGTTGCTTTCCAATTATTTTGATATAGCTGCTGTATTTAACATTCAATTGCATCTTTTGTTGGCCTCTCAGCTAACCTAAATCTTGGGTTCCTTTAGAGCTGTCAAATTAAAAGGTTTATCTGTTGCCATAGCTTAATTTCTCAAAGAGGTCTGTTACTTTTCTCTTTTGATATCCCTGTAATAAGCTTTTATTGGTTTCGGTTCAGGCTGTGCTCTGTGATGGAGCGTCCCAAGGAGATGACAGCTTGTTAATTTTCTGCTTCTTTCTTTCCTTTTTTAAAGGACAGCAAAACCTGAAGAGTTCTGTTAACCTTAAGAGAAGGTTTAGATTGTAGAGTTGGAAGGGCCATCAAGGGTAATCTAGTCCAACCCCCTGCAATGCAGGAATCTCAACTAAAGCAGCCATGACAGATAGCCATCCAACCTCTGCTTAAAACCCTCCAAGGAAAGAGAGTCCACAACCTCCCGAGGGAGCCTGTTCCACTGTCAAATAGGACTTACTGTCAGGAAGTTCTTCCTAATGTTTAGTTAGAATCTCATTTCTTGTAACTTGAAGTCATAGGTTCGGGTCCTTGCTTCTGGAGCAGAAGAAAGCAAGACTCCTCCATCTTCCATTTGACAGCCTTCAGATATTGGAAGATGGCTTTCATATCTCCTCTGTCTCCTTTTTAGGCTAAACATATCCAGCTCTCTCAACCGTTCCTTATAAGGCTTCGTTTCCAGACCCTTGATCATCATCTTGGTCACCCTCCTCTGCTCATGTTCCAGCTTGTCGACATCTTCCCTAAATTGTGGTACCCAGAACTGGGCACAGTACTCCAGGTGTTATCTGATGAAGGCAGAATACGGTTGCTCTATTACTTCCCTTTATCGGGACACTGTACTTTGGTTGGTGCAACCTAGAAGAGTATTAGCTTTTTTTGCTGCTGCATCACACTGTTGATTCACTTTAAGCTTGTGGTCCACCAAGACCCCCTCAATCCTTTTCACATATTCTGCTAGGAAGCCAGGTGTTCCCCATCTTAAATTTGTGTGCCTGGTTCTTCCTGCCTAAGTGCAGAACCTCACATTTGTCCCTATTGAAATTCATTATTTTTAGTTTTGGCCCAGTTCTCCAATCTGCTAAACTCATCTTGCATCCCAGTTCTGTCTTCTGTGGCATTAGCTACCCCTCTCAGTTTGGTGTCATCTACAATTTTTCCCACCTGGTAGATTTTATATACTTGGATCGTCCTCCTTGATATTTGTTAGGTGGGAAGTGCTATGGAAGTGCTATGGAATGACTAATAAGTGCACAGAATCTGATATTTATACCTGATCTTTAGTTCTATTTGCTGTCAAAGCATGTTTCTAGCTCTTCATATTAGGGGTGTTGGTGAAGATTCAGAAATCAATACTTGGCCTTCTAAAAATTCTAGTAGTCAGGGGCTTAGATGTTGTTGGCTTGCTCAACATCCTGTACAGTACTCATATCTCTCCATCTACCCTTGCGTTTGCCATTTTCTATCTGCTCTTGCTGCCCAGCTCTGAGCTGTCTGCATTTCTTTTGTCACCCAAGAGCCCAAAAGTAATCCTTTACATGCTTGTTTAGTACATTGCTTTGAAAGAGCTGGAGGAACGGGACAACTCTTGTTCACTCCTGTGCTTCATAGATTGCTGGGCAAGCACAAGCAAGGCAGTGTTTTCTGACCAACCCTCAAGGGACAAAGCCAGCACTGTATGTTTCTGTGCAAGTACAGTCTGGGGCTATGGGTAACTGGAAGACCTCACTGATGATTGCACTAAAGCACAAAAGGTATTGTCTTAAAAGAATGTTTGCTTTCCACACTGGAAATTACCTGTCTGTGTGATGGTGGGGTCCAGGAGCAAAGGAAAAGTGGCTGGCAAGGACAGAGCTGTTCTTGCACATTTCACCTGCTTGTTTCCCAGCCAGACTCAGAATAATGATACGCTTGATCAGGCCAGATGGCAGTCAAGGACAGCATTTAATAGAAGAGAGGTGTCTAAATATTGTATCCAAGGTTGGGTTGTTCATTCTTTTTCCTCATTTTGTCCTGGCACAGACGATACTGAGGGACCTCCTAAGAAGATCTTGTGTGGAAAACTGTCAGAGCAGATTGCTGTATGGATTTGCAGAGGATTAAAGTTAATTAAAGAACTCTTCCTTACTTCCATTTCCTCCTATCTGCGAGCTATTTACATGCTAATGTAGGGCCTGCCAGGGAGAATAGGAGAGGTGTCAGCGCTGGGCATATTATCATACAAGGAAACAGTAGAAACTAATGAGATATTATATATATATATATATATATATATCCATAGCACTGTACTTTTTCCATATTTTCTGGAGTGTGTGAGCTGACTGAATATAATTCACACCATTTAGGGTTGCATCTTGCACCGCATAATAATTTCTTACATTATACTCAGTAGTATCTTAACACCAGCAATTTCATAAATAAAGAGAATGAAATAAAGGAGGAAAAATAATCATTTTTGAAATGCAAAACTTTCACAAGTGATGGGCATTCTCCTTCCCCCAAAAAAATTTAATATCAGTTTTAATGTTTCATTTCTTTTTATCATGTAAGCTGCTTTGTGTGTCCCCGGGTAGAAAAGTGGGGTAAATATAACAAGTCAAGTCAATATGATTGCCAGACTTCCTGTTGGAACAGGACCTGCTGATCCTACCTTTGCATTAGCATCATTAATTGTAAACGCACTGAGAGGAAAGAAAGCAAAAGGAAGTGGGAGTTTTGAACTCCCTGCTGAATATTTTTTAAAATGGTTTTAAAAGGGAGATACAGGGAGGAAGTTTTTTTTAAAAAAAATTATATATATGGGGTAAAATGCATGTTTGGGTTAAAGTGGGCTTTAAGTTTGAAAAGGTTGAAGATACCTGTTGCAATGAGAAGAAGGATAAAATTTTGGAGAAAATAAAAGAAGGTGAAAAGAAATTGAGAGCAAAACCTAAGTCGCAAGAGATTTTGAGAGAAATAAAATTATATCAAGTACAATATATGAAAATGATCAATCAGGAGATAGAATGGAAAATTAAACAAATGAGACAAAAAACATTTGAGTCGGCTAATAAATGTGGGAAATTGTTGGCTTGGCAAATGACAAAAAAGACAAAAATTAAATATAGTTACAAATTTAGAAGTGGAAGGAAGGAATATACAGAACCCAGCCGAGATTAGAAATTGTTTCCAGAGGTACTTTAAACAACTATATACACAAGGACCACAGAAAGAAATTGATCTAGATCGATTTTTGAAAACAAATGGATTACAAAAAATCTCTCAGGAAAGTAAATCAAGGTTGAACTATAAAATAACTGAACAGGAGATAGAAGGTGTCATTCAGAATATGCAACTAGGT